GCGATGGAGGCTGGGGGGAGCTTAGCAAACCATTGTCGTGCGGATCCCTTTAATATGGTTGGGAAGGCCCTGCACATGATTTCGTCTGGGACGTTGTGCAGCTGCATCAGAGTCTTGTAGGTGTCGAGGTGGTCTAGCGGATCTTTTGTTTTGTCAAAGGTCTCCACAGATGACATTTTGAACTTCTGAAGGAGGGGGTAGTTCGCCACGTCAGGTTTGAAAGGCGTGTCTGTACGCCTTACTAGGTAGTCCACTGTCTCAGGTCCCTGTGCCTTCATGGCGTTGAAGACATCACCTAGTTGATTTTGTACTTCTTTGATTTTCTCGTCCCAATGATGTGGGACTCCCCTGGAATGATCATGGAAGTGACTCCCATGCTCCATGCTTTGGTTCTCACCCTCATCCTCCTGGAGATGAAGGTCCTCACCATGGAAAACCTCACCATGGAAAACAGGTGGAGGAGGAGGAAGTGGGATTCCCTCATGATGGGCTCCCCTGTGTGGGGCGCCAAATGGGGCTCCAAGGGGGGCGCCTAGGTGTGGTGCAGCAGGGTGTGGAGCCCCTTGATTCCCAGGGCGTGGAGCTCCTTGGGGTCCTCCATGTTGTGCACCTCCAAGTTGCGCTCCTCCTCGTCCAGCGAGCACGAATTGTAGTATCTGTTGGTTTTGGGCCACTAACTGCTGCATGGTCTCCTGCATTTGCTGTGGATTTGGAGCTGGAGCATTTGAGACAGGGTTGGTGGGAGGAGGAACAACCTTCTCCTCTCGTGATGGACTGCCTTCATGTTGGTTCATGGATCTGGTAGTGATCGTCATTGAGTCAGTAAGTGTAATGTTTAGCAGTGAGAATTTTGTCGTTTCTCACAGACAGCGCCAAATTGATGATACACAAAATGATTTTGCACACCACCTGTCAAGTGTGAATAATAAATGCAAGAAAGTTAATAATGAGAGAGAGAGAGACACAGACAATTTATAGTGGTTCGGTCAGCTTGACCTACATCCACTCTTCAATGACTTTTGGTTGCTAGGTATTTTATTAACTCAAGGGAGTGGAAAGCAGAGAGCACAAGCTTTGAAGGAGAAGAGAAAGTTGTGCTTAGGTAAAAAGTGTGATGCCCCAAAGTGTTGGTGGCGCATGCAATTTATAGTAGCCCCCTTAACAGGTTAGAGCTACTTCTCAGCAACTAAGCAACTATTTTGGTGGAACTCACGACTTCCTCTCAACGGGTGAGGTGGTTGAGGAGCTCCACATGAAATGCGGTCAAAGATAAGGCGATGGTGGACCGTTTCCTTCTGCAATGCAGGTAAGGCCCCACACTCTTCCTTTTGATGACGTAGCCGAACTGATGAGACTGGACTTGGATAGTATTGTGCTTAGTGGGTCTTTATAAGATTAGACTTTTCAATTGAGGTTTAGATTTTTCAAATAAATTGGACCATTTTGAACTTGACCCATCAATATCACTTTGTCACATCGTTAAATTAATAATGTGTCATGACTTCGAATAGGAGTTTATAAGGCATGCCATTGTTTACAAGAACGATGAGACAGATTAAATTTGATTAAAATTGATAAATGTGATGCAATATGTATTTATTTATTTTTATTATTAATTTCTTATCTTGTCTTTTTGGTATATTGCATTCTTCTCACGGGTTTTATGTATCCATGCCAATTTCTAAAATTTGGACCACAACTCATTCAAGTCCATTGACCATGGCAGTCCATCTCACGTGGGAGAAAATAATCAATCGAACTATTAAATTATGTTATCATTGTTAAGTTGTGTAATTGACCGATTATGAATAATCATGGAGGACTGACGATAACGTTGATGTAATCGATCAATTATGAATAATTATGAAATCCCACCAAATTATTTAACTACCAATAACGTTCACATTCAAAACTATCATGCAAGATTAGCAAGTTTACTTATCCTATTTTTTTGTTTATTATTAATTGATTATACTGTGTGACGATATTATTGATCGATTACACTACGTGACGATAGATATTTACACCTCATGAGGCCATATTCCACAAAAAAAGAAGTTGGAAAATGTTTATTCTTTCTTGGAATAGTAGTAAGTCTAGTATGATTAGTGGGTGTCTATTCTCATCCACACATAGGTCATCATCTTTTATCAACAAACCTACAATGACAAGTTGTTATTGCGTTTTTCTTATCAACTCATTTAGATTGATTAATGAATTCCACTAAACATGTAATGATTGTGGTTGTGCCACGTTAAAAAGATAAAGAAATTAATAGCAAAATGTTTATTGGTTTTCTATGGAGGCAATATTCACTCGAAATTGATAGTTTAGAATTTTGATGAATGTTAGACAATAAGGTAAATATTATAATTGATCCTTAAATTTTGTCATTTGTTTTAAAATGGTTTGTAAAATTTTTATGTCAATTAAATTATTCTATCATTTTCAACTGTTAAAACAAACAACACCACATGACAAACACTTTTTTTTTTTAATAAAAGGGATGCAACACGAGGATTTTTCAAGGAGTCACCTATCCTAATATTATTTTTGCCTAAATACACTTAACTGCGGAGTTCTAATGAGATCCAGTGTATTATTGCTAGTATAATTGCACCCACGTGACAAACACCTAACGAATTCTTATTTTCATGAAATTAGACGAGTAAAACGAATTTTTTATTCCCGTCTTACATATTTATATATATATATAATAGAATTTTACATCTTTTTATATCTTTCGAGAATCACATTTTGACTAGAAATCTTTGATTGAAGTGGATTTTAACAAATCTTTCTATAATTTATAAGAAACTTTTTGTTTATAAAATTAGAAGACAAGAACAAAAGACAAAGAAAAGAAGAATAATATGAGAGTTGATTATCATATATATCTTTCATGTAGAGAAACTATGAATAGGTTTATTTATTTAGTTCGATATTTCAACGGAATTCAAATTCACTCCATTAAGAATAATAAAAATATAAAAAAATTTACTTGTGACAAATTTTTATTGAATAAAAGGTGGAGTATAATACCAAAAAATAATATTTTAATATTGTAAAGAGACTCATATCTTATGATCCATATTGAAAAATGATATTTTGATACTTTAATTGAACTCATATCATGTGATTTTATTTTTTTAGTTGGTTTATTATTGTCCATTTATTTGCAAGCCACGTGGATCCCTGAGGACCTTGTATGTATGAAGTTGACATTAGGTGTGAGCGAGCAGACTGTAGTAATATGGGTAATTTTGTCGGAGATCTTTGGTGGTCCCTACAAAGCATGACCCACACATGGTTTTAGGGTCAAAGGCGAACTGAGGGAAGGAGTTTAGGGGCTGTTCTTCTTTTGGGAAACAATGGCGTGTGGTTACGAACATTAAAGTTAACGTGTCTTCTATCTCGTAATTATATTCTTCTCCGTTCACACCAACCGGGTCATCCGCTAAATAAATGAATTATTTTAGATTACGGTAATATTAGATGGATTTAAAAATTAGATTTGATAATCTCAATCATTGAATAGATAGTGAATCTCAATAAATACTGAGACTCACAGTGAAATCAATGATTAAGATTATCAAGTCTAATTTTTAAATCTATTTTTTAAATTCATATAACATTGCTCTTCCCAAAATTATGAGCGTTTTATAAAAACAACGCATTTATCCTTAGCGCACACTCCCTCCCTCCTCTCTTCTCTTCTCTCTCTTTCTCTAAACAATCGAATCAACACCCGCATTCTTCAAAACTTCATTTTCCTTTTCTTCCAACGCTTCTTCCTATGAGGTGATGGTGGTGGTGCTAAGGCGATGATAATGAAATAATGATGACGATGGGGTAATAAAAACTATCGATGATAATGATAACAGTAATGTTACATGCACTTAAAAAGTAGATTTAAAAATTAAATTTGATAATCTCAATCATTTATTTCACTGTGGGTCTCAGTATTTATTGGGACCCACTACTTATTCAATGATTGAAATTATCAAGTCTAATTTTTAAGTACATGTAGTATTACTCTTTTGGAAAATCATAATTCGCCAAACTTTAGATTCTATTTTCTTAAAATCATGCTTGACTTACAAATAAAAATTTAAGAAATAATATAATTTTTTTTTCTTCAGAAAAATACAACACATGAGGTTCCTTTTGATACATTGTCTCTCTATAAATGCATGGAGTCTAAGACTGATCCTCCCCTATTATATGTGGTACATGTTTAGGTATCGTCTTTTTATAAGTGAAATTCATCATCTTTGGTTTGGATAGTTTATAACTATTAATTAAAAAATATAAAAAATTTTACAGATGCCATAATTTTATTAGACAAAAAGTAGGGAGAGAATTACATTTAGATATCTTGACATTTAAAATATTATACATAGATCTTTTGAGGTTTGTGCACACGTAACACTTAAACCCCCGTCGTCAAATGTGTTAGTATATTCGTTAGTAAATTACACCAAACTCCCTGAAGTTTATAAATGTATAATACTTATACCCCTCAAGTTTAAAATATTTCAATCAAAGATAGAATATCAAATATTTTAAATTTTAAAAATAAAATTCATGTTTTATTATATCATTTATTGAAATAAAATCAAAAATCAAAAATTAATTTTTTCTTAAAAAATCCTAATTATTATACAATTAGATTATCTATTATAATAAAAACTAAAAAATCAAACAAGGGGTCTAAATCATTCATAATAGAACATAACTTTTACAACAAAAATTCATGTTTTATTATATTATTTATTGAAATAAAATAAAAAATCAAAATCTATTTTTAAAAAAAAATCATAATTAGTATACAATTGTACTATTTATTGGAATAAAACAAAAAAGNAAATCAAAATCTATTTTTTAAAAAAAATCATAATTAGTATACAATTGTACTATTTATTGGAATAAAACAAAAAAGTTAAACAAAGAATTAAACTGTAATGAACACAATACATTNCCTTTTTTTTTTAATAAAAGGGATGCAACACGAGGATTTTTCAAGGAGTCACCTATCCTAATATTATTTTTGCCCAAATACACTTAACTGCGGAGTTCTAATGAGATCCGGTGTATTATTGCTAGTATAATCGCACCCACGTGACAAACACCTAACGAATTCTTATTTTCATGAAATTAGACGAGTAAAACGAATTTTTTATTTCCGTCTTACATATTTATATATATATATATAATAGAATTTTACATCTTTTTATATCTTTCGAGAATCACATTTTGACTAGAAATCTTTGATTGAAGTGGATTTTAACAAATCTTTCTATAATTTATAAGAAACTTTTTGTTTATAAAATTAGAAGACAAGAACAAAAGACAAAGAAAAGAAGAATAATATGAGAGTTGATTATCATATATATCTTTCATGTAGAGAAACTATGAATAGGTTTATTTATTTAGTTCGATATTTCAACGGAATTCAAATTCACTCCATTAAGAATAATAAAAATATAAAAAAATTTACTTGTGACAAATTTTTATTGAATAAAAGGTGGAGTATAATACCAAAAAATAATATTTTAATATTGTAAAGAGACTCATATCTTATGATCCATATTGAAAAATGATATTTTGATACTTTAATTGAACTCATATCATGTGATTTTATTTTTTTAGTTGGTTTATTATTGTCCATTTATTTGCAAGCCACGTGGATCCCTGAGGACCTTGTATGTATGAAGTTGACATTAGGTGTGAGCGAGCAGACTGTAGTAATATGGGTAATTTTGTCGGAGATCTTTGGTGGTCCCTACAAAGCATGACCCACACATGGTTTTAGGGTCAAAGGCGAACTGAGGGAAGGAGTTTAGGGGCTGTTCTTCTTTTGGGAAACAATGGCGTGTGGTTACGAACATTAAAGTTAACGTGTCTTCTATCTCGTAATTATATTCTTCTCCGTTCACACCAACCGGGTCATCCGCTAAATAAATGAATTATTTTAGATTACGGTAATATTAGATGGATTTAAAAATTAGATTTGATAATCTCAATCATTGAATAGATAGTGAATCTCAATAAATACTGAGACTCACAGTGAAATCAATGATTAAGATTATCAAGTCTAATTTTTAAATCTATTTTTTAAATTCATATAACATTGCTCTTCCCAAAATTATGAGCGTTTTATAAAAACAACGCATTTATCCTTAGCGCACACTCCCTCCCTCCTCTCTTCTCTTCTCTCTCTTTCTCTAAACAATCGAATCAACACCCGCATTCTTCAAAACTTCATTTTCCTTTTCTTCCAACGCTTCTTCCTATGAGGTGATGGTGGTGGTGCTAAGGCGATGATAATGAAATAATGATGACGATGGGGTAATAAAAACTATCGATGATAATGATAACAGTAATGTTACATGCACTTAAAAAGTAGATTTAAAAATTAAATTTGATAATCTCAATCATTTATTTCACTGTGGGTCTCAGTATTTATTG